GCAGAGAACAGAGAGCAGGCTATGTGGAGGCAGAGGTCCCGGCCTGGACTGCAATGGCATAGCACGCCCTGGGGCTGGGAAAATCATGCCAGTCCAGGCACCCTATAGATAGAAGAGATTCAAAAATACGTCTGTGAATCAGAAATACCCCAAATCCCCATGAGAAATGAAAGCTGATTGGGGTCAGAAGGGGCAGGATGCCCTAAAGTGAAGCAGTGCAAGGGGCCTGGGGAGCTGCGTCGGGGCAAAGGGCAGACCCACACCACAGAGCACCACGCTCCAAAGGGCCCATCGGGCTGGGCAGAGGTGGGCTTTCTGCCTCTGCTCTCCTGCCAGGGCCCCATGTGGCCTCTGACCTTTTTTCAGCCACTTTCACCAAGAAAGTAAAGTCAGTAGCTCTGTCCCCACATCAGGTAGTGATCTTCCCTCTAGCTTCGGGGTAGCACAGACTTTCACCCCTGTGGTCCACGTGAGAATAAGGATGCAGGCTCAGGCCTAGGGGTGCAGCCAAGCTTGCGGGAGCTGGGCAAGTGGATCCGTGGCCAGCCTTTTCAGGTGTTCTCCTGGATGTCTGAACTCCATTCCTCAAATCTCGAACTGAAGAACAGACCATCTACGATATGCAGGTAGATTAACGTCCTCTGTCATTAAGATGAATGCAGGCCTGTATGCTGGGACAGCCCTCAATGATGGGCTTTATTTGGAGAAAATGCTCCAATACCACACTCAAGCTGGGCCCCAACCCCAGCCCTCCTGCAAGCTCCCCATTCCAGTGAATGGCTATCCCACTTCTCACACTGAATGCTGTGGTGTGGCCCTGACACTCCTTTACCCCCCACCTCTGCTCCCTCAGTAAATCTCACGGCTCTCCCTTCCAGACACATCAGTGTTGGACCACTTCTCACACCTTCTCCGGGGCACCTGGAAGGGTGCCCTCACACCTGTCCCCCATCGCCTGCCTCCCCCTCGCCCACTGCCAGTCTTTCTCAGCAGCCAGAGTATCCTCAGATCTGCTCCTACTCTCCCCCATCCTACTCCAGCCATGATGGTCACCTCTTCACTTCTAGAAGCCATCAGGCATACGGTGGCCTCGGGGCTTCTGCAATTGCTCTCACCTCTGTCTGAAATGCTTTCTCCCCAGGGATTGACAAAGTGGCTTGCTCCCTCCCTTCCTTCAGCTCTGGACTCAAAGGTCATTTCCTCTGAGACTTTTGGAGAACCTTTCCTGAAAGTTAACTCTTCCCTCTTAGAGGTCAATAACCCCTTTCCTTGCTTACATTTTTTCTTCTGAATACTTACACATTCTAACACATTATTTATTTATTTTGTTTATTATTGGAGTTCTCCCAACAAGAAAATGAGAATCATGAAGGCAGGGATTTTTTCTTTTTTCTTTTTTTTGTCTCTTTTGATCACTGGTATGTCCCCACCACCCAGACTGATGCCTGGCACATGGTAGGTACTCAGCGGATACTCACTGAATGGATGAACGTGAAATCAAAATGTTGATTTCATTCAAGAATCAAAGATCACCTGACTAGTTTGCAAATAGAATTTCTTGCTGCAATGGTGACTCGGTGACTTCACAAGGCCTGAAATTGGTGCTATTAAAAAAAAACAAAATAGTCCCAGAGCCCCAAATGGTCAATCAGAGATTCTGCATGTTGATGTTTTAACATGTGAACCTTCCCAGATGTAAGGGATGTTGTAAGTAGGAAACCTTGGCCACAGTCAGGAAACTGTTAACCACACAATTATTATGCAGAGGGAATTCAGCTTAAAGACTCAGCCCCATTGGTGTAAGGTGTAGAAAAGGCAAAAGGAACACCTTGGTCACCCAGAGATAATATCCATTGGAAGCAGCTGTCTCCATCTTCTCAGGCTGGGCCCCAAGAAAGGATGGGGTGGTCAGCCCTGCCCAAAGAGAAGGCCAGGAAGGTTAAGTTAGTGAGCACTATGCCTCTATCCAGGCAGGACTTTAAGTATCTCTGCACATGTGTCTCTGTGAAACATTCAAGGCCTACAGTGGCTGAGTTGAACACCATAGCACATGTGCACAAGGGAGAAAAAAGCACATTCTCTCCACATAAACATTCTCCCCCACTGCCATACTTGGGGGACTAAGAAAAAGGGCTCCACATCCCTTTAATTGCATGCAGATTCAAAAATGCAAGTAGGGGCCAAGGATTTCACACCCCATGAGGGTGTTTAGTAAGACATTTATAAGAGCTACCAGTCGGCTGCCAGTGTGAGCTCTGAAACCCAGATTTCCTTCTAAAGCTTTTTAATAAAAGTAGAGACCCCAGATCTAGCCCAGTCCAGAACTATTTCAATAAATTTCAAGTGAGGGAATCTGATGGGGAATTACACCGAGAAAACCTGGTATTTACAATATAATACATGCACCTGGTTCCCTTTTGTATTTACAGTGTGTGTATCCAGACAATGTTTTTTTATGCAAATAATAAACCTGCATGGAAATAACGTAGAATCTTCTCTTACATTACTGTTATGTGTTTTACTCCGTGAACAATTTCCCTGGACTTAAAAGGATCTAAGAAAGGAAAAGAGCTTTCCCTGGGATTGTACCACAAAACTCAAGTAGTGAGAGAGGGGTCCGTATCAGCTTGCCCCCAGGCAGAGAATGTAGGATCTGAACAAAGAATTAAGGTCACACCTTCCTCTGGCCCCAGTCCCCCATCTCCTCTCCTCCAGGGGGTGCGGGCCCAGCCCTGGCAGGAGGTCTCCACTGGACAGGACTCTTGTCCAGGTGGTAGTGGCAAGAGTTCCAGTATAAAGCCAATCACTGGTCCCCGTCCTGACCACCCCCACCGCCCCTACATCCACCAGCAGCCTGGCTAACACCCAGTTCTAGTCCCATTCAGATACTTGAGCAGATACCCTGTCCCTCTGGATCTTCTTTGCTCCCTGTAATAACTCTCTTCCTGAACCTTCTTCACGTATAGGTGCTCTGCTCTTCAGAGGCACGCTCTGTGTCTACACTTCAGGAACCCAGAACAGACCCTGAGCTTGAGTGCAGAGGACAGAGCCCAGCTGTGTGTGCAAGGCGGGTCCGGCGCCTCACACTCACCCCCCTCTGCTCCAGGCAAGGTGTTTTTACTACCATATCCTGGGGCCTCCCCACTGGCTACAACCCTTGCCAGAAACTGCTGATGCTGAGGGTAATGGTAACAACTAGCAGGTAAGAAAGACTAACTATTACTGGATGCTATACTATGCACTGTAATTCTCACAAAAAAAAAAAAAACAAAAAGGAAAAGGAAAAGAGAAAGAAGACAAGAAAAGAAAAAAGAAGGAATAGTAAGTACTATGTTACAGCAGGGAGCCTGATTCCAGCCAATCTGCCTGCTTGGGGTCACACAGCTGAGGTGTGTCACCTGACCAAGTGAGACCTGAGGCAGGAGTGGAGAGGGGTGGGGGTGCAGAGGGGAGGGTCGCTCTCTGCCAGCTCTTGTTAATGGCCAGCCTTGTTCCAGCAAGGACGTAAGTCACTAATAAACTGCTGTTCCTGCATCTAAGCTTTCCTGATTCGGGCATTCATTTGGTAAATTAAAAAATACAACAACATCCACACCCAGATAGCAAATTCGAGGAAAACTTGAAATAATATGAAGCTATCTGCAGATCCGCAATCAATATGAGAATCCGGGGGTGCAAAGAGAAGCCTGAAAGGCAGGCCGTCTAGCTCAAGGCCTTCAAACTTGCTGGCTTTGGGAGNGGGGGGGGGGGGGGGGGGGGGGGGGGGGGGGGGGGGGGGGGGGGGGGGGGGGGGGGGGGGGGGGGGGGGGGGGGGGGGGGGGGGGGGGGGGATACGGGGGGGGGGGGGGGGGGGGGGGGGGGATCGCCCAGGAGAAGTAGAGGTTATCCTAAGACCTCAGGCAGGCAGACCAGCAGCTAAGGAAACATCCCGGCCACCCTCCGCTTGAGTAAATGCCCCCAAAGGTGCCCCCGTGTCTGTTTAAGACTGTGGAAAGGACGGCCTCTGGGTGACTTGTGACCATTCTCAGAGCCGCAGGTGGTCATAAGCGGTGGCGGATAGGGCTGCTCAGAGCCCCGCAGTCGTCCCCGTCCCCTGCTCCCCCAGCCCCTCCCCCTTCTAGGATTGCCTAGCTCGGCGCTTCCTTCCCTCTCGCCACCGGCCGCCGCTCCTACCGCCTCCGAAGTGCGCTCCCTCGCAGGGCGTCAGCCTGGCAGAAGGAAGCCTCAGCAGTCCTCTGAGAACTCAAACCCCCAAGGGCCCGGGCGGTCAGTCACAAGGCCGGGGAGGAGGCCGCCGCGGTTAATCAAACCCGAATGTCGGACCCACCCCTGGGGTGGGGACCTGGCTCTCCCTAGTAGTCGCCAGCAGGGAGGCCCCTCCGGAGGAGTGACAGAAGGCTGCGTGGCACCTCGCACTCAGGCTCCTCCGTCACCGGAAAAGACAGGAGGCGCAGCCCCTACCAACAGAGCCTTCCAAGGGGCGGCTGCCAGACCCGACGCAACCCCAGCCGGACACTGCGGTTAACTCTTCCCAAATGTTTCACCGGCCCTCTACCGTCCCCCTCCGGGCGGGGCGACGGTCGCAGCCGAACCTCCGAGGGTCGGCAGGGAGCGAGGCCGCCACTCCGGAGCAGGGGCTGGGGTCAGAGGCCTGGGGACCATCCCAACACCGGCCGCTGGACTGGTACTGGTCAGGGACTCGTCCCTGGGGACACTCAGGACGCCTGCGTTGCCGATCTCGGCCCGGAGGGCCCAGGGCTCCACGGGCTGACTCCTCGTCCTCCAACCACCGCCGCCCAGGGCGCCCTTCATTTGGGGGCGGAGGATTTAGGCGTCCCCTGTCCCGTGCCGGGGATGGAGAGGAAAGCCTCAGTCTCGGTTTAAGTAACTTCCCCTCCTCCCTTCACTGCACTGTAAAGCGACCATGCAACCACACTTCCCGCTAAGACCCCATCCGAGGCGCCCCTCCGGCCCCACCCCGGTGCCCACGGCCCCCGAACCTTGCCGCAGCGGAGCGCGCGCTAGCTCTGGCCGGTCCTCGGGAAAGGCGTCGCGGAGGCGCTGCCAGAGGCGGCCCAGGTCTGCGAAGCTGCGGTGCAGGTAGAGCACGCTGCGGTCCGACCACTCGGTGCGGATCTCGAAGAACTCCTCTTCGTCGCCGCGCCGGCTGACGATGAGCCTGCGGATGCCGTTCACCCAGCAGCCGCGCACGAACATGTTCACGAGCGAGGTGCCCTCAAACACCGCCGAGGCCATGCCGCGGGCCGCGCATGCCCCCGCCTTCGGGGGCGCCCTCGGCCCCCGCCCGCCCGCCCGCCTGCCGGGCCGGGGTCCGTCCGAGGTCTCCGGAGCTGGGAACGGGCCGCCGTGTGCCTGCGGTCTGCCCGGGACTGAGGTCTATCCGGGGCCAGGGTCCGTCCGAGGTCTCTCCGGAACCGGGATCAGGCCGGAGTCCGCCGGCGGCGGGGTCCGTCCGAGGTCTGTCCGGAGCCGCGGTCCGTCTGGCTACTGTCACGGGCCAGAATCCGTGGTAATCCGGATCTGTCTGGGGTCCACCCCCGGCCTCCGCGCGCACTCTGGGGGAAGCGCAGCGGCGAGTCGGGAGGGCCCGGCCGAGCGGCGGCTTTATAAGGGACTTCCCATCGCGGGCGGCGCGGTCGTCGACGTCGAGGCCGCCGCCGCCTTCTTCCCGCCTCCGGGTGAGCGGACGCTCCGCGGGCCGCGCGCGGAGGGGGTGGCCTGGCCCGCAGCGCCCCGCGCTGCCCACGCGAAGCCCGCGCTGCTGTGGCAGCTGGCACCCCGGCCGCCGAGAGCCGGGCCGAAACCCGAGCGCCGCGCCCCGCCTCCGCGCCCCCCTCCCGGGCCCGGACCGCCCCCGCCGCTTCCTTCCCCTCCCGGTCCCAGAGCCGCCGGCCGGTGACTGGACGAGAAGCTGGGAGTGGAGGGCGGGGCGGCTCTGCGCTCCCGGGGCTCGCCGTGCAGACTTTCTGGTCTTCCGTTTGTCGCTCCTGGGGAGCTCGCGGGTTGAGGGCTGCACGCCCCACCCGGCCGGCTCCCGGGAAGGACACCGCACGTGTGTCGCGGCCGGGACGAGGGCTGAGCGGAGTGCGGGCGAGGCCTGCGGTGCCAGGGGTCCGGACGCGCCGCGCGTCTGTACTGCTGGCCTCGCCAGGAGTCCCTGAGCCGTCGCTCACCCACCCCAGGCAGGGCCGGGAGCCGGGGTCGGGGGCCGAGGCTCGCCCGCCCCACGTTCTCTCGGCGTCCCCTCCCTGCCTCGCGTCCCTTCTCCGCCCCGTGTCAGCTCCCCGCCCCGCGTCCCCCCGCGCATTCCAGTCATGCCGCAGCCCGGACGCCTGCTGCAGACAGACCCGAACGAGAACGCGGCGGGACGGACAGACTGAGAAGGGGCGTCCCTTAGGATCTCAGCCAGCCAGCCAAGCGGTCGCCCTCCAAAAGGAAAACATTATGCCCCCTACCCCTTTCTAAGAAGTGGGACAAACCGGTAGTGGGAAAGGCGTCTCCTCCGAAGGAGCCTCCCCCGGAGTCTGGTAGCCCTTTGTGAGACTTTAGGAAATCCAACTGGGGAAACTGCCCACACTGAAAACTGGAATCTATTGCAGCCTTGATTCAAAGCTTTCCTGTTCCTCAGGCTGTTCCTCATTGGTAGATAATTTCAAGGGATAGTTTAAGAATTGGAAGTTGTTCTTGAAGTGTCTCAAGTGATTCGCATCACCCTGGGCAGGGATGGGAGAGCCAGGGTTAGGCCCTTCTGCGCTTTGCAGAGTTCTAGAAAGTATTAAAAGGCCAGCTAGTGCACAAAAACGTTAGAGGTTGAGGGCAGGTTGCTGGTCACTTGACTCCATCCAGACTCAGATGTGTCCTTCTTCCCACTCCAGTCACAGCATCACCATCACCATCACCAGGTTTTGTTCAGACTGCTCCAGGGACTTGCAGTAACCTATCTTCATAGTTCACCATCTAGGTTTATCTTTACCTCTGGTACTGGCCATAGTCCCCGTCTGAGCAGGACTTTTCCACGATTTGGCATGGCTTCCTGGCACTGTGGTCGCAATCAGTAAGTGTGGTGTGATTGATAGGCTGGCTGGGGGGAGTCTGCCCTGTGCCCCAAGGCGCCTAAGGGCAGAGGCTGAAGAAGCAGAGTAAGGCTGAGTCCCACCTTCCTGAACAAAGCCCCATTGAGACCCCCACCCCCCAAGTCACCCTCCCAGGACACACACCCTTTTTCTTTTGCTGCCACTGGGCTGAACAGCCATCCCTAGTACTTTAAAGGCCAGAATTAAAGTGCTTTTAAGCATTCTGGACAATCTTTCCTAGGAACAATCTGGTCTTTGGGCCCCTGTTGCTAAGGAGACCTAACTTTGTGAAGTTGCCCGTCCGTCTGCAGCAGACATTCCTGGTCACTAAAGAGAAGAAAGTGCTTTCCTATCAGTGACGTTTGTTTTAAGAAACTTGGAAGGAGAGAAAACCAGCGCTAAGTAAAAAGTAACAACTGCCCAAAAGCCACTAATAAATACAGAAATTCAGATTAAAACACAATGAACTACCATTTTTTAATCCATTGCATTGATACAGATTTCTAAAAATCTGTTAAGAAACTTATCCCAAATCTAGAAAGAAGGCCAAGAGACTAGTCATTCTCTCAGTGTATGCCCTTTCATAGTTATTGGGCATTGTTTTAAAGCCTAAGGATTATTTAATTTCTAGGGACATGTACCATTGTTTTGATGTTGCTATTTACTATTAATTAAAGGCTAGGACTCTGTAAGGTTATATGTTAACTTGTAGATTTGTGCTTGGTAGAGAGGCAACTAATTTTTGCCCCAGAGAAAAGATAACTTAACAGGTTTTAATTTATTGCCCTGTAGGACATTAACCATTTTTAAAATTTTTATTTATTTATTTTGAGAGAGACAAAGAGAGAGCATGCATACATGTGCACTAGTGCAATGTAGGGGCAGAGAGAGAGGGGAAGAATCTCAAGCAGGCTCTGTGCTGTCAGCACTGAGCCCCACGTGGGGCTTAATCAGGCTTGATCCCAGCCGTGAGACCATGACCTGAGCAGAAATTAAGAGTCAGCTTAGCAGAAATCAAGAGTCAGATGCTTAACCAACTGAGCGACCCAGGTGCCCTGGACATTAACTATTTTTATATCTAGACTAGCAATCTTATTTTAATAAATTCTAAGGACTATATAAACCTGTTTCTCCAAATGGTCTTTTTTATCTTACAAATTTTCTCAATAAGTGATTAAGTAAAATAAAAAAATTTGACACGTGTGCATGCCATATGTGTAGAAACATTTGAGAGTCATATTTAATGTTTGAAAAGTATACTTGGACAAGTCTCACAATAAGGAGGATTTTTGTAAGGTTATGGACAGATGCTTACCCTCCTAAACTGATTATGGGTGCATCAATTGGAACAGGCTCTTTGGAAGGTACTTTAGCAGTAGTTGTTAAAATTGAAAATGTGTATAACTTATCATCCAACAACACCTAGGATTCGATCGTAGAGAAGCATTTACAGATGGGCAGCAAGAGAAAGGTACAAAACCACTCAATGTTGCAGTGTTTGTCAGAGTAAGAAATTGGAAAGGGCTTCAATGTTCATCAAAAGTGGAATGGACAAATTAGTGACACGTGGTAGAATGCAATACAGCCACAAAAAACGGACCAGTTATAAAAGTATAGAGAGATCCCAGAAACAAAATGTCAGTGGAAATGACCGATAGCTATAGTGTAGTAATAAAGATACATATGAGAAAAACAATTCTAAATTTAGAAAGATATAGCCAAATTCATAAAGATACCTTTGGGTGGTGAACGAGTCCAGATGGGAGGGTGTCAAGAGGGACATTGGCTTTATCTATAATGTTCTTATGTACATTTCTGAATTAGAGGAATGCACACACTGTGTAGGTTTTTATAAACGTTTATTTATTTTTGAGAGAGAGGAAGAGACAGAGTGTGAATGGGAGAGGGGCAGAGCGAGAGGAGACACAGAATCCAAAGTAGGATCTGAACTGATAGCTCAGAGCCTGATGCAGGGCTCGAACTCATGGACCATGAATTCATGACCTGAGCTGAAGTCAGATACTCAACTGATTGAGCCACACAGGCGGCCCATACACCTAATTTTTAAAAAGGATAGTGCTCTTTGGGAGACTGGAAGTACATAGCCAGAGCATCCCCCAGTGCTCGCTTCTGGGTGGTGGGAATAATAGCTAATGAGATTTCCTTCTTAGTGTTTTTCTGTTACTTAAATATCATCTGATGATGAGGATGAATGGATCTCTGAAATCAGTACTAGTGCCTGTGAGTTCTGGTCCTGCCCAGGCACTGACCAACTCCAGCTGTTTAACCTCAAACCCACCTATCCTTTCCTGGCCTCGATATGCCTTTCTGTGAATTAAACATTGTAAACAAGAATTTGGAAAAGCCCATGCCTCTTACCAGGACAGATAACATGGTAGGTGGCAGAAAGTGTACCATGAATACCTTTGAGAGCCCGTGGTATATAAATGTTAGGACCAGATACACAGGAGGTAGGGTGGTTTCAGGCTGGAAATCAAGCTGATAAGCCAGCTCAGTGCCTGAGCCTGCATAATAGCGTGTGAACATGGAGAACAAAGAGGAGCTCTCTGGCTAACCTTGTCCATCTTCCAAGCCCGGTGCAGAGTTACACAGGTGCAATGCAGGAAGAGCCCTGCTGTAGGTAAGAGCCTTGGAAACCAGATACTTCAATCCGATTCATAAAAGCAAATGAGATTCAAAGCCTTTACTTTTGAAGGAAGGTTGGTTTCTCTGTTTATTTTTCTTTTGCGGTTGTTTTGATTTGTCTTTGTTGTTGATGATGTTGTTTTGTTTTGTTTTAAATTCTACTCTTTCTCTCAGGCCTCACTGTTAAGAGAAAGACAGTGCAAAGGTTAGTAGTTTCTTTTCCAGGTCACCCTGTGTCCCTCTGCTGTGTCTGACAACACAACAGGATAGGAAGCTGGGGGCTGACACCAGGAAGTGAGTGGGGGATGGGGAGGTAGTCCTGGCCCCAGGGCAGCCTTAACCCCACAGCTTCTACCACTTGTTTAACACTCTACCTCCACCAATATGCAAACTGACAGCTAAGGAGTGTCTTTTCATCACTACCTGTGCTTGGAATACATTTGATAAACTATTCGTATGAGCACCAGGAATTAATTTGAGTTCCACCTCACCAGTTTCAGACATGGTAGATAATTCAGTGAGCAACCTGGAAACCACAGTTCTTCATTTTTCTTCAAAAGAAGAGCAGTGAGAAGGCCCACATCCGTGAACACGCGTAGAACATTAAGGGATCTGATCTTCCCAACAGCCCCTGGGGATGAGGGGTGGGGAGGATGATTGTCCCTTGGTGAATGAGGAAACTAAAGACTCCA